GTCCTATAGAGGGCTCAACAGGATAATAAATCTTTGAAGGACTTCCACATTTACGCTCCGTTTCCAAACATTTCAAATGACAAATAAATGCATATCACATAAAAGTCGACTTAAAAAAATCAGAAGTCGTCCAACCCCTAGTACACACACACACCTGGAGCAGCTGGGGGTTTGATTCTTGCTCAAGGGTCTCACCTCAGTCGTGGTATTGAGGGTGGAAGAGAGCGCTGGTTATTCCCCCCACTTACAATCCCCGCCGGACCTGAGACTCGAACCCGCAACCGACTCTCTAACCATTACGCCACGACTGTCCCCAGAAATAAAAATATAATAAATACATCTTAATGTTCTATTCAAGTTAATATTAAGTGATCTATATTTTAGACGGAATATTGTCATTATGGACTGTGTTGATCTATTTCACCAATAATTGCATCTCTGATCAACATGGTGGTGTTTTCTGAATGATTCAGTACTTTTGAATGAATCAAGTGAGTCAGTGATTCATTTCAAGCCATTCATAAAGAGAGTTGTTCAATTTTAAACTGCATATTAGTATACTACTCTTACTGTTTATCTTTCTATGGCATAAATATCAATAGTAGTATGCTAGTATGTGGCTCACAAATCAAGCCACTTGCTTAATTCCTGAAGGAATCAGCCATTAATGCATCGGTTGAATTAGTAAATTAATGATTCACTTTTAGTATATTTTAGTATAGGTATTACTTTCATTGTTCTATGTTCAATCTATTTACATTTAAAACACTAATCTAATATGCAGTTGTAAATGCAGTGTAAATGCATTCATGCCGTCTCTGAGCTACATTACACAGTCTGTGTAAATTAGGGCTGTCAATCGATAAAAATTTTTAATCTGATTAATCACATCCTTTTTCTGTGATTAATCGTGATTAATCGCACACTTCATGAAATTAAGTATAGACCATTTATCTTGTTTTAAATGTTTATTTTGTCATTATTTGCTATATCCAGCAAAGTAAACCAAAAGATTGAAGGGTGATTCTCAAAAATCGATATTTTCTGCAAGCTTTTTTCAAGATAAATTTAGATGTCTTTCCAAAAAAGGACACTTAGAAACGCCAAAAGGACACCAAAGAACCAAATGATATAAGGAGCCCATGTAAGCACATGAAAGAAAAAGAAATCCAAATTTTATAGTAGGCTATGTGTACAGTGCAACACCAAAGAGCTTTTTTACATTTTAAAGAAGCCAAGTTGCGATACCGAACGGGACCACATGGAGATGCCAAGAAAAATCCCTAAACCAACCGCCTGCTGACTGCATATAGCCTATCTACTACCGTTTTGGACGGATTGTTTGAATGCATTCAATTACTGGATCATTGGACTGAAAACTTTCCCGGAGTTTAGCGGCTTAAAATGCTGATATAGACAGTTAATTCCTCTCACGCATGTGAAGAACGCACGTGTTAATTTGTCGTCGGCTGTAGTCTGTGCGGTGTGTCCGAGTGCAGCTTTTTGGTCCGATGCTGCCGACGTGAGGCAACAACACCGTCGGCTTTCGTCGCCGCTTGTTCTTTGAAGTCGGCTTGGTGTGTCCCGGCCTTTAAGGATTGTAAAATTAATCACATGCGTTAACGCGTTAACGATCACAGCCCTAGTGTAAATACATCTAAATGCCACTTCAGGTGTAGCATCAGTGCCACTTCTGCAGTGCAGAGATGGATTTTGTTGTTATCAATTTCATTTGATTGGTTTCAGCCCTGTAGAGTCTTATTATTTACATTTACATGCATTTACATTTATTCATTTAGCAGACGCTTTATCCAAAGCGACTTACAATTGGGGAATACATCAAGCAAAGTTTTTTTTTTTTTAATTTAGGATGAAGTCAGATAGTGACGAAAGAGGTGAGTTTTCAGCTGTCGCTTGAAAGTTGTGAATGGTGAACGAGTATGTTCTGGAAAGTGATTTTGAGCCTCTCTGTGATGGTACCACGAGGCGTCGCTCACTAGCGGATCTCAGACTTCTGGAGGGGATGTAGATTCGTAGTAGTGAGTGGAAGTAGGCGGGTGCTGAGCCTGTGGCTGTTCTATATGCAAGCATCAGTGTCTCTAACTTGATGCGAGCCGCGACCGGTAGCCAGTGCAAGAAGATAAAGAGAGGTGTAACGTGGGCTCTTTTGGGCTCGTTGAAGATCAGTCGTGCCGCTGTATTCTGAATCATTTGTAGAGGTTTGATTGTGCTTGATGGAAGTCCAGCCAGAAGAGCATTGCAGTAGTCCAGCCTAGAAATGACAAGGGCCTGGACAAGAAGTTGTGCAGCATGCTCCGTTAGAAAGGGTCTGATCTTTCTGATGTTGTGCAATGCAAATCTGCAAGATCAAGCAGTTTTCTGCAAGATCGAACTATTATTCTAATGGCATTTATTGAATACATTTAAGAACATGACACATCATCTACACTAGGGTTAGAAAACAGGTCTTCACAGGTAGTATGGAGGTAGAAGAGCATCCAGAATACAAAAACTGCATGACATGCTGTCTATTAAGGTGCCGTCATTTGTTTCAGTTGAAAGAAGAACAACGACTTAATATGTAATTATATAACATTTTATGCTGGATGTGGAATCACAAGCATTGGAAGTCAGTAAGCTAAAGCTTATATGAAATTGCTCTTGATCATTAGACATAAGGATGTGATAGAGTCTGAAAGCAGTATTATGAGGAGGATCTTTATAAACCAGAGCCCGAAGGCAGCTGTCTTAGATTTCAGACACAGCCTTTGTCGATTTGTTTTCAGCTGTGTCCCATTAGTCCTCCTGTATTTTAGCCCTCACATTTACCTTGTTTTTATCAGGCTTTGTTCTTGGATTTTAGTGTTTTTCTCTGTTAAATGCAGCTGCATGATCCTCTTGCTCTCAGTAAGACTCTCTGTGTAACAGTAATATTAAAAGTGTATTCATCAATAAATGGAGGAAGGCATCTGTGAAATGATGAAATGTAAAAGTCTAAAACCAGGTTCTGTGGCAAACAGCAGATCACCAGCGGTCTTACATGCGGTTAATGGAGCTACAGGACGACCTGTGCAGCTCTAACGCAAACAGCTATTCATGTCTGTAAAAGGAAGGAAAGAAGCACAAAACCTCCATCAGCGAATGCTGTAGAGCTGAGCCGCAGGTCACAGAACACAGAAGACTGAACTTTAGGAGCTGCTGCAGGTCTTTATCTGAGATGAGGTGAGATGTTGAGCGAGGAGGCTGTGAAAGCCCACAGCTGGTGTGTGTGTCTGTGTGTGTGTGTGGACACGCGGGTCATGAGAGCTGCTATTAATACACTCCGCTATGGCTGAATTATATCCACAAGCTCCGCTTAAGCTTCTGTTACAAATGATTAATTCTTTAATAAAATGAAAAGACTGGTGACGAACACAAAGGTGAAGGAATCAACACCAGACACAGGAGAATACTGTATATTCTGACCAAAAGCATTGGCTGGGAACTTTGGAAGCTTTGGAAAGTTAAATGCTTTTGTGATTTTTCCCCCCCCTCACTGTTTGAAATTAAACTTCAATTAAATCAATTAGATCTATTAGTCTCTCTTTGTATTTTGCTTTATATGCTTATATCACCATTTTCACACACTTTCCATAAAAACTCAAAGAAGCTTTTTGTTTGAGCTGTAAATCTCAAAATGTAACATAGGGAGTCGTGACAACAGAGATGTGGATCCAAATACAGGCTTTAATAAAAAAAGTGTAGTCAGACAGGCAAGGTACAGTACCAGCAAACAGTAGCAAACAAGGTAATCCAAAAGGGAAATCCAAAAACAGGTGAAGGTCAGGGCAGGCAGCGAACGATCAGAATGTTTTCATAACTTAGTGAAACATTAGCAAAACTTAGAACCTTTTTTATTTTTTTTGATGGGGAGTTTTCTAGTCTTTAATAATGCTCTCAAAACGTCAGCACAAAAGCATTATTTATACATTGTCCATGGAACATTTTATTTCTGAAATGTTTTTGTTGGACGCTTTTTTTATGTTACTATTGGTTTCAGAACGTTCAGAGAACATTCAGTTGTAACATTCACAAAACGTTGAATTAAAAAAATGGTTGTTCCTGTAACATTAATATAACCAATAAAACTCCTTAAAAACATTTGTGTCATGATAACTTTCGGAGGGATTGGCATGGTAATGTACATGAAAATGTTGATGTATTTGGTCTTGGTGGAATAGATCTGCTGCGGCAGAGCAAGTACTGAGACTTGCTAATACATCCACAACATGCTGCTGTGAGCATGAAAGAAATACTGCTGCTGCACATATAACATATATGAAATAACCCCCATGTAGCATACATGAATCACCCCATAGCAGATATATACAGGTGGAGCTGGGGCAGGTGGAGGATTTCTAAAGCGCGCTGCAACTGCTACAGCAAGCACTAGTGAAGTATTTGAATGTTGAGCAGCGAGCTCATTGGCTGCTGATACAAAAAGAACCAATCAGCTGCGCCATGTGATGATGTTATTACGCCAGATTGAGTTTGACCTATTGGACTGCACCATCTAGAGTTTCATGACAGAACTTTATATTTAAAAAAATTGATGTTTTGAATATTCAGAGAACATTCCGAAATAAAGTTTTCATAACTTAATGGGAACATTATCAAAATATTTTAGAACATATTTTTGTCAGTCTGCGCTGTAGGTTTGAGGCGTAAGTATAAATCGATCCCGTACCCCGGTTTACGCCAATGCAATGAGACTGCTGTCTATAAAGAGGCTCCTAACAGCTCATAAAGCCTCATCCTCCTCCTGACCTCTTGACCTCTAATCGCTGTCTCTGACATGAAGACCTACAGCCAGATTTCAGTCCTCCTCCAGAATTTTTATCCACTTCCAGCAGAAACACTTCATCTTCTTTTAGGTAATGGGCAGGTTATCGCTCTCCTCTCCTTCTGCTGGCTGACTCTCTGTAATATTTCTCTCTTTCTCTCGGTCTGTTGTCCTTCAGGGCCACAGCGACGCACCGAGGACAGATCATCTTCAAGGACGCTCTGGCGCAGCAGCTCTGTGAGCAGGGAGGTGAGGAGCATCTCTGATCCGTAAACTTCAGATGGGTGTTAGAGAAATGACAGAGAAACTAAATATACACACAGTCTGATCTTCAGCATGTGCAGCACATCAAATGACAGAACACACAGGCATTCCTATACATTAACAGTAAAGGTTGAATAGTATGAATGTTGTACTCACCTGACGGTCTATTTGCCAAGCCATAAGAACATAGGCATTCTTACTAAAATCTGAATACTTACTAAAAAACTAAAATCTCTTCATATGTGTGTGCAAAGACAATTGATGCAAACGTTCAACCTGCCACGCACTCTACTGAATAACACACAATATAAGGGCATGAAAGTTTTTCCAGCACTTACACATGAAGGTTTTAAAGAAGTCCATTTCAAGTTTGAAGGGCTTAAAGCTTTGAGTGGTTAAAGGAATTATAAATATCCCAGCAGGACTGAAGACTTGAAATAGAGAAATGAGGCGAATCTCCATCAGTCATAAGACATAAGCAGATTAACACACGGCTCAAGAGAAGATCTGAGACTGAGAGCCGCTGAAGCTTTAAAAAAGTGAGCGAGGACGGCGCAGACATTTGACTGGCTGATAATGTTTCAAAGCGGCGTGTGCAGATGTGGGGTTAAGGGTTAGCAAGACTACAACCAGTGAATAGAGCGTATTTCAGCAGTGCTGTGGCCTCTAGAGAGCAATAAGACAAAATCAGCTCTGAGATTAATAACACGACAACATTCAAAGCAAAAAAGGGTATTTAAAAATTTGAAAACACAATAGTACAAGGGAAAATTCAATACAGATTTGTCAGTAGAGAGTTTCAGTCATGCTAAAATACACCAGTATTAGTCAGTGAGCTGAAACACTCGTCTATATGTCACTGTACAGCACTACATAGAGCAGACATTGACCTTAGTTTACATAGATGTACTGCTGAAAGAAAGACTCGTCATTAACCTGATGATTCAGATGATTTTATGAAGATTTGTGTGTCTGCACTTTTGAAAAAAGAGTGTTCATTATGGAAATAAAATCATTTGCTTAAGTGTGAACTTAATGTACTGTTTTTTTGGACACTTACTGAAAATGTATTATACAGTTACAATTTTTATTGAATGCAAATAGTTAAACTTCAGAGTGCTTATTTGGATGCACCTAAAAGCAAAATTTGACATTATTATAAAGTGCACTTTTTAAAAGTAGACTTAAGTGTGGTAAGAAACAATTAAGTCAATTAAGTGGCCTTTTATTTCATTGATATTATCTGCAATTACAGTTTTTTAAAATAAATACTTTTAAGATTTAATGTACACTGCAAGTGCACATTCAATACCAGGTTACACTTTATTACAGTGTAATTACACCATTAATAGTGAGTACTATTTTATCTTTAACATGTACCGTACATACTTTATGGTTAGGATTAAAGTTTGGTTTAGAGTTAGTTGCATGTAATTTACTGTTATTACTATAATAAGAACATGCAACATGTGTAACAAGGAAACTGTAAAATTAAGTGTTACCCACACTTCTTTTTCACAAGGGTACTTCTGTTTTTATTATGTGGTAATTGTTTTTATAAAAGAAATAGGGATGACAGCAGTTTTATTGTGGATAGTGTGAATCAAATGCAAATATGTAAGTAGTTTAAGAGTTTAGAGAGGCTCATTTGCAGTGGTTTATATTCAGATTGGTGACAGTGATTTCTGTGGTACTAGTGATTCTGACTGATGGATTTTAGTGTTGAGTGTTGAACACAGCATATTGTAAAGCTGAAAATCTCACGGACCAGAAGTATATTTCATCATTTAACAGATTCTGAGCTCAGAGTAGGTCTGTGCTGAAAGCTTTATATGTTATTGTTATGGAGAAAATCAATGGATTTGTACCTCTGAAACCAGACTGTTGCATTTTATTACCCACTGTTTACCATTAGTTTCCTTGCAGAAAGAGGAAAATCATCAAGTGTATGAAAGTGAAATGAGCCAGAAGACTAGCTGGAATTAATAGACAAATGACAGCATGTATCCACAGATAAACACATAAAGGCATGCTAAAAAGAGACTTTAAGAGCAGCAGAACTTCACTGAGAGAGAGAGAGCTGCAGATGACGCTAGTATATCAAAGAGTGATATCTGTGACAGGTCGGGATGAGGAAAGGCGACCAGAGAACTCTGCAATTTCCAGCAGCTCCATAAATTAGTGCTTTATGGGACACGCTGGACTCGTATCCCTGAGGATTGATTATCGAAAAGTGACTATAACTCACGGGGGGCCATCAGTGTTGGGCAGAGGAGAGGAGGACGATCAGAAGCAGAGCAGATATACGACAGCAGACACGCGGCCTCTAGATGGAGAGAAGCGCTAAAGATGAAAGATGTGTCGCTGGAAAATAATGTCCTGCGCCTCAGACACCCAAACGCAAGCGCTCGCACCACTTAATAACACCCAGTGCCAACTTTCATCTGAATGTCCGGCTTTGCATTAAAGAAGTTGGAGAATGAACCGGCCCGCTCCAAATCTGCAGCCGAGGCTCATGGGAAGCGCGGGGCTGTTAAACTGTCAGTGTAAGCCGGTCGCATTAGCACAGATCTACAGGAAGAGCGCCGGAGGTAATTAAAGTTCTTAAGAAAGCGATCGAGGATTAAACTAAGCCTGAAACGAGTGTGACTGTCTGCTGTGTGAATGCTTGATGTAGACAGAAGAAGAGGTCGACGAATGAACGGCAGAGAACGAGAGCAGAACTCCACAGACAAAGATCATGTGTGTGTGTGTGTCACATTACCTTTATTTATATAGCGCTTTACACAAAACAGAGGGTGTCAAAGCATGTTTACAGTGTTAAACAGGAAAATAGTGTGTCAATAACGCAAATAAAATGTAATTATGCTATAGAAGCTCTAAAAAGAGGACAATAGTAACCAGTCAGTTTTCCAGTTTAAGTCAGTTCATTGTTGATTCAGTGATGTCATCGTACAGCTCAGTTCAGTTCTCTTCCAATAGTGTCTGTGCCAGGGGTAGGCAGGTTCGGTCCTGGAGAGCCGCTGTCCTATAGAGTTTAGACCGAACTTGCCTTGCCCCTGGTCTGTGCAATCAAGGCCATGATATTGACAAATATTAAGTGTCGCTAACTAAGCAAGCCAAAGGCAACAGTGGCAAGGAACCAAAACTCCATTGGTGACAGAAATGAAGAAGAAAACCTTGGGAGAAACCAGGCTCAGTCGGGCGGCCAGTTCTCCACTGGCCAGACAAAACCAGCAGTTTAATTCCAGGCTGCAGCAAAGTCAGATTGTGAACTGGCATCACTCGGAACATCCATCTAGTTCCCTCCACATGGAACATCGCATGGTGAAGGAGCCGAAGCTGGTCTGTGCAAAGGACTCGTCTGGTTCTTGTGGTCTTTGCTGAGGATTTGTGCCGATGGCCGTCTAGGTGATGAGGTCTTCAGAGGAGATCTGTCTCTAGGGCTCATCTAGTTGTCCTGGTCTCCGCTGACATTCAGGGCTGTAGAGGTCATCTCTAGGTGCTGCCCCCCCATCTGATCTGGATACAGACTGGATCTGGTGGCCACGGTGACCTCGGAATAAAATGAAACAGACTAATAATAGTGTACAGTAGATGCCATTCTTCTAACAATGTAACAAGTGTGTTACAGTATGTGTATGCCAGGTTAAAGAGATGGGTCTTTAATCTAGATTTAAACTGACAGAGTGTGTCTGCCTCCCAAACAATGTTAGGTAGATTGTTCCAGAGTTTGGGCACTAAATAGGAAAAGGATCTGCTGCCCGCAGTTGATTTTGATATTCTAGGTATTAACAAATTGCCAGAGTTTTGAGAACACAGCGGACGAGAAGGACTGTAATGCGATAAGAGCTCGTTCAAATACTGAGGTGCTAAACCATTCAGGGCTTTAAAAGTAATCAGGAATATTTTTAAATGTATATGATGTTTAATAGGGAGCCAGTGCAGTGTTGACAGAACCGGGCTAATATGGTCATACTTCCTGCTTCTAGTAAGAACTCTAGCTGCTGCATTTGGGACCAGCTGGAGTTTGTTTATTAAGCGTGCAGAACAACCACCCAATAAAGCATTACAATAATCTAACCTTGAGGTCATGAAAACATGAATTAACATTTCTGCATTTGACATTGAGAGCATATGTTGTAATTTAGATATATTTGTAAGATAGAAAAATTCAGTTTTACAAATGAAATGTGGCTATCAAAGGAAAGATTGTTTTTAAATAGCACACATAGGTTCCTAACTGATGACGAAGAATTAACAGAGCAGCCATCAAGTGTAAGACAGTGTTCTAGGTTATTACATGCGGATGTTTTTGGTCCAAGAATTAACACCTCTGTTTTTGTTTTTTGTTTCAGAATTTAGCAGTAGGACAATGCTAGCCATCCAGATTTTTTTATATCAACTATGCATTCCATTAGTTTTTCAAATTGGTATGTTTCATCAGCCCGTGAAGAAATATGGAGCTGAGTATCATCAGCATAACAGTGAAAGCTAACACTGGGTTTCCTGATGATATCTCCCAAGGGTAACATGTAAAACGTGAAAAGCAATGGTGCTAGTACTGAGCCTTGTGGTACTCCATACTGCACTTGTGATCGATATGATACCTCTTCATTCACTGCTACAAATTGATGGCGGTCAGATAAGTACGATTTGAACCATGCTAATGCACTTCCATTAATTCCAGTTTTTTATATCGACTATGCATTCCGTTAGTTTTTCAAATTGGTATGTTTCGCCGGGCCGCGAAGAAATATAGAGCTGAGTAATCATCAGTATAACAGTTAAAGCTAACACCGTGTTTCCTGATGATATCTCCCAAGGGTAACATGTAAAACGTGAAAAGCAATGGTGCTAGTACTGAGCCTTGTGGTACTCCATACTGCACTTGTGATCGATATGATACCTCTTCATTCACTGCTGCGAATTGATGATGGTCAGATAAGTAAGATTTGAATGATGCCAATGCAATTCCACTAATGCCAACATCATTTTCTAGTCTATTTGAAAGAATGTTGGGGTTGATAGTGTCGATAGATCGAGTAGCACTAATAGAGAGATACAGCCACGATCAGATGATAAGAGCAGGTCATTTGTAACTCTAATGAGAGCAGTCTCAGTACTATGATACGGTCTAAATCCTGACTGGAAATCCTCACAGATACCATTTTTCTCTAAGAGGGAACATAGTTGTGAAGATACTGCCTAGTATTTTTGACAGAATAGGAAGATTTGAGATCGGTCTGTAATTAACCAGTTGTCTAGGTTCAAGTTGTGTTTTTTTTAATGAGAGGCTTAAAAACAGCCAGTTTGATGGTTTCTGGGACATATCCTAATGATACTGACGAATTCATAATATACTGTACATGTTGTTGGTTTAGATCAGGACTGTCCAGACTTGGTTATGGAGGGCCGGTGTCCTGCAGAGTTTAGCTCCAACCCTAATTAAACGTCAGGTGTGTTGAGGCAAGTCGGAGCTAAACTCTGCAGGACACCGGCCCTCCAGGACAGAGTTTGGGCAGCCCTGGTTTAGATGATTTATATATATATACTGTATATATATATATATACTGTATACAATTCTTCCTCTCCTATAGCAGAGAATAGTATATCTGATACGATACTGTAGATGCCTGCTGTATGGTTATAATTTTCTCTCTGATACAGTAGTATCGATCTTGGAAGTAAAGAAATTAATTGTGTGTGTGTGTGTGTGTGTGTGTTCATTCAGTGGAAGTGCTGTTTGACATGTTAGTAAACAGTGTCAGTGTGATAAAAGTGAACATTCACCATGACTGCTGGTAAAATCTGTCTCTTCATCCAAACACTTGATAAGGTTTTACTGCTTACAGAGGAGGACAATGAGGAAAGCCAGAGCCGTCACTCCCGTTACCCACCATGCATAGTACACAAGTCAACAAAACATTGTTTCTGTTTAGTTTCTAGCCTTATCTCATGAGAAACGCTCTGCAAACGGTTTTCCAAAATCACAGTTTGTCCCTCCTACTACAGGCCAATACGGACGAGACTTAAATACATACAAGCTGAATAAATATTCAAATTATGTTCTGTTTACTTTTAAATCAGCTCACCCGGTTTGGATGTTAAATCTGATTATAAAGATCAGACTTTCTAAAGCACTGAATGCTCTGAATGTCCAGTCTGTGTGCTGAATGAATCTTTCAGTCTGATTTCTGGGGTTTGAACCCATGACTTTTGCATCGATGCAGAAAAACCATGTGTGACTTATTTAACAAATATTTGCATTGGCTCAGCTAAATCGCAAACTGTATTCCAGAGCATAAGTAACTGATAACCTTCCTCTGTGAACTTGATTTGTCTGAATGGGAGTAACAGTCGCAGTAGCGCCACCCAGTGGACGTTTGATTGGAAACTGCAGTTTGAACCTGCAATTACATTCAGAACTCGACCATTATTACATTCATAGTCACATTCGCTCATGAGACTTTCACAGTGTGTGTGTGAGTTCTGAAAGAAATAGGTCAGCAAATGAAATAGAGTACAGCTGCTTTATCATTATAATGTGATGGATTTTGGGTAAAGATTATCTGAGGTTATTGAGGGAAGGATTGACTATATGATTTTTGGTATATCGGTACAGTTTAGAAGATAAAAAGGTTTTTCCAGAGAAGATGAAGGTTTCTGAGTGTAAGGTTTAATGTGGTTAATTATAGCTAGACGTGTCAGAGGCTTTAGATAAGGAAAGACTGAACTGTGAGATTAAAGAGAGCCTGCAATGTTCTCTAGAGCGTTAAAGTCAGTTATAAAATAATTTGTAATGATGTTTCATTTCATCTGTGAAATAACAAATAGTAACACCTATACACATATATAAATAAGAGTTAATCATTCATCACACCTGTTGGCATTAGAGAATAACATCCATACACTGTCTAGTCGAATCAAACCTTTTGTGTTGGGTCCTTTCATACATTTCAAATTACTGTGGTTGTAATGATCTTCAGAACCAAACATTGATTAAAGTAGCAGGCTTTTGTTCATGTGAGATAATAAGATGGTGGTTAGCCGTCAGCAGCTTCTGAAGGGATTAAGCGGATTCTGGTGAGCAAGAGGATGATGTGTAGGGCAAATCATGAATAACTGTATGATGAATATGTCTGATTTAATGTCCAGTATTTTGCATAAAAGTACTGTCAGAAATAATGGCGTTTTTGACCAGGGGTTCATTTAATTCAGCATAAATTTTGGTTTAAGAATAAGTAGTCGTGATCTCAGTCCCAAATAGACACTCAGAGAACGGCTGCCGGTCCGATCCTTACATCTGGAGCAAGAGTCTGTCAAAATAATTCAGCCACAAAACCCATTTAGTTCATTTTTTTAATTCTTTCATGAAAACAGTCTGGAGCAACAGCTATTTTAGATCAGTATACGGTTCATGTGATTAGACTTTTAGTACTTTAAGGTTCGGTTTTACTGCTGGATGGGAGTTTGTACCGAAATGTTATTTATCTGTAGTTCGACAAAGCACAGAACTTTCAAAAACATTCAAACAGGAATTGATCAAATTAATAAAAGAATCAAAGGAATTATTCCTCAATGACCTTTATTAAAGAAAACATTTCATTCTCCATCTAAAAATGTCCACAGCAGGCTGTACTTGATTTTTTTTATCGTTTTATCACAGGATCCAGACACCACAGACGGAGAGAGGCAGGAGTGTTAAATGCTCCTACATTAGTAATATTTTGTTGAAGTAGGAGGTGAAGACTCATGGGAGTGACATTGTCCTAGTTTTTAGATGAAGTACAGAGAAAACCGTTACCCTTATTATAGAGCCGTGAGACACTGATCATTAGAGTCATTTTGGCAAAATAAACTCTGACCGTGAGATCAGGACCCTGACGGTCATCGTGCTCTCCTCAGCTTCCGGCTATTGATTACAAGCTTTAAGATCACTGTAAAATCAGTGCTAAATAATAATAATAATGCTAAAGTCCTCCAGGATCATGCCAATTAGTTCTTCTGACTTGCAGAATGAAAGAGAGCAAGAGATAGAGCGATACAAGACACACGGTCAAATGCACAGCAACTGTCATTGGAGAAAAATGTTTGACCGATCAGTGATTGAGAAACATAACATTCCAAAATCTCCATAATGAAGTCATTTAATGTTTGCAGGCTTCTTTGTATTAATTACAAAGGGATTGAATGTTCACTCCATGTACTGTATATTTATTAAAATGATCCTTACCAATCTTTCTCCTTGTATCTTTTTATATTTACAAGTCTTTAATTAGAAATGTTCCATGTAAAGGATGTTTTTGTTTTGTCTCTTTAAGCTCCCACTGAATCTCCTCTTCGGCCCAGTCTAGGTGAGTAAAAGCATCGGCAGACACACTTGTGCTGACGTTACTCCTCACTGCTCCTCACTGTGCTCCTGTCTCTGTGTCTGTCCTCGGTATCTGTCGCTGATGTAAAGCTGTGGTTCATGGTGATCATGCTGTTCTCCGGGATGACTTTGAACACAATTCACAAGAAGAGCTTAATCTCAATATCTGGTGAGTAACACTCGTCTTTCTTTGAGCTGTTTGCTTGGCAGTGAAGCTGTTTTCATTTCCTATATAATATTTTGCATTGATGCCATATAGAGAGCTAGAAGATGTGTTTATTGTCCATGGCTGGTTCTCTCGCAGGTCAGACTGCAGTAACTGTGAGGTTGGAGAGCAGTGTGGTGCGCTGATGCATGGAAAAGCAGTGATGTTTTGTGAGCCCTTTGGACAGAGAGAACTGGTAATTGTTTACAGAACAGATGTAATCAAGTGAAAAACAGCACATTTTGCCCTGAAGGTCTGGATGTTGACAAACAGCAGCAGGCAGTGAGTTGTGCTTCTCTATATAACCATGTATGTGACAAATAAAAATCTTGAATCAAACAAATAGATGCACGTCTGTCCATACAAAACTCCTGCCAAACTCCTCAGAGTGACTTATAGTCAGTAGAATGTCCATCAGAATAAAGTTATTATTAGATAGATAGATATTAAGATATTAGATATAGATATTAAGCAGACAATCACTAATACTCGAATGACTGCTAGTTGACATGGAGTTGCAAAGTTACTGATAGTTAGTAGAATGACTAAAGTGGACTATCAAACTAAATTATTACACAAGAAAATAAAACACACACACACATTAAAGACTGGTGGTGTGGACGCTGTGTAGCTTTGCAGTGCCGTGTCTCGTGTGCTGTGTTCACATTATTCCTGTGTGAAAGAAGCAGATCTGTGAATAGAAATGAGAAGCTCATGGTTTTATCGTCTCTTTTAGACGACAGTGGCTCTGAACACGAGCACCGCATCAGTCCTGCAGTTTGCCTTTGGTGAGTGTCTCCGTCCTTCTGCGGTTACTGTAGCTCATGATTCTTCAGCTCCTGCAGCCATAGACGACTGGTTTACAGCTGAATACTTTGCAAAAAAAATTATGCATTTTTGTCTTGTTTTCCAGTAAAAATTTCTAAACATTCTTAAATCAAGATACATTTATTTGAGATGCAAAATTACTTAAGATATTAAGACTTGTCTGAAAAATTTACCTTTTTTTTTTCAGAAAACAAGTTATGTCATTTTGCATCTCAAGTGAATGTATCTTGATTTAAGAATGCTTAGAAATTTTTACTGAAATACTTAGCAAATCACATTTAGCTGTATGTATTTTTCTGTATGACGTTATTAAGTGAATCCATTCTAATGTGTGACGTTCTTGTGTGTGCATTTGTTGTTCAGGATCTGGTTCTTGTCGGTTCAGTTACTCGGACCCCAGTATCATCATCTCCTGTGGTCTGAACTCCTCTGATGACTGGATCACCTTGGAAAAGATCAGGTTTTACTTTATTTTAGGACATGGCTCCCACACACTCACAGTATTACTGTTACCATTATGTAAATACAGCATGAGCAGTGCATGGATTTTGTGCTATAAAAACTCATAATTTAAGGTTACATATGTCTGAATGAGCTTGAGCACTTGTATGTTCAGTTCTCCAGTGTTTTTATCGTATGTATTTGGTCTGGCAGGGCTCCCACTAACAGCAGCACAGTGGTCCATCTCCTGCCATTGCCTCCGGGCTGTAAAGGGGAGGCCATTCATCTGCGCTGGATTCAGGAGCCACCCGTGGGGCCCGATGGTTATGAGTCCTGCTGGGGCCTCGATAACATACTGGTGCTGAACACGGCCAACCGGCCCCCGCTGCTGGAGGACAGCCTGGACCCTCTGGACACGGCCAACTGGCTCTTCTTCCCTGGAGCCACAGTAAAGGTGCATGACCAAATAGTGCCATCCAGCAAACTAGAAACCATCCCATATGAAGAAGCTCAAAACGAGTGCTTATTATGAAAATAATGCACTTTAAAATAATATACTTAAGTTCATTTAAAATATATGAACTATACATATAATCTTGAATAACACACTACAGTTAAAATTATAATCTAGTACTTTACATATGCTTTAGTATGTTAGTCAACACATCAAAATAAGTGTACTTCTTTAAAACATGAGAACATAAAACATGTTGATTAAAAAAAGAAGATTAAAGCATAATGGTTTAAAATGTACTTTAAAGTAAAATGTTTAATTTGACAAGTGTGTTAAGAAATTCAGTCATTAAAGTGTTTATCTTTAAGTCACTTAAATGGCCTTTTATTTCATTGATATTATATTGTCTGCCAGAAAAATGTATTTAAAAATATACTTTTAAGATTTGAGCACTACAAGCGCAAATTCAGTACAATCAAGCACACTTCTTTTTCATGAGGTATGATTTATGAACGCTTTCCTTGCAGAGTTCAGTTTATGGTTTAATGTCGCAAAGTAAAGCGCTAATATGACGGGTCAGAACACAAGGCCGCAGCTTTGACAGGGTCATTTCTTACAGCAGCCCGGCGAATGTTTACCAGCCCACACTAGCAGACAGGTCTGTTCCCCATAAATGGCCCAAGGCAGAGGCTGTCTTTAATGTCTTCTCCATCTGCCCTGCATTCATGCAACATGGAGATTTCAGTTTTGTCAGAAACATCTGTAGCACTGTAACGCTTCCTCTCGATTTATTCACTAGCACGCTTGTCAGTCAGAGGGAAACTCCTTGTACTTTCATGGCGGAGAGGGATTCGAGCACAGCTTCGCCTCCACACGAGACGTGGACCTGCACCGTGAAGAGGGACGCAGCTACTGGGAGGAAGACTTTGAGAGTCCACTGAGTGGGTGCGTTTAGATTGGGATTCGTGCTAGTGGATTGCTTTTGTGAAATAGTATTTTAACAGTAGTTAGGTCAGTCAGTAGACAAACATACTGGTGATACATTGAGGTGTTGACATTTCAGTTTTGATATCTTGGAGCTCTCTAGACAAATTTGATATCCAAAAGCAAACATTTGGGTTACTAACAGGTTACGATCAGATGCTGTTAAGTGTAGCAACAGTTTCGTGAAGAACAGAGAATTATATGTATGGAGGTGTGATTGTAAGTGCTGTGTGTGGCCTGTAGATGGGAGGTTGATGGAGCGGTGAATGGAGTTCAGTGTGGAGAGGTGGAGTCTGAATCTGCACTCGTCTTTCTCAAAGATGGACAGAGGAAGGTGTGCACACCTTACCTCAATACCACCGCCTACGGAAACCTGCGCTTCCACTTCACCATGGGTATGACTTACACTTTTACATGCACATTATGTTGATGCTGATGTGTGTTCAATGTATGATCTCTGTGTGTTCAGTGTCTGATCTCTGTGTGTTCAGTGTCTGATCCCTGTGTGTTCAGTGTCTGATCTCTGTGTGTTCAGTGTCTGTTCTCTGTGTTCAGTGTCTGATCCCTGTGTTTTCAGTGTCTGATCTCTGTGTGTTCAGTGTCTGATCTCTCTGTGTTCGGTGTCTGATATCTGTGTGTTCAATGTCTGATCTCTGTGTTCAGTGTCTGATCTCTCTGTGTTCAGTGTCTGATCCCTGTGTGTTCAGTGTCTGATCTCTGTGTTCAGTGTCTGTTCTCTGTGTTCAGTGTCTGATATCTGTGTGTTCAGTGTCTGATAGCTGTGTGTTCAGTGTCTGATATCTGTGTTTTCAGTGTCTGATCTCTCTATGTTCAGTGTCTGATATCTGTGTGTTCAGTGTCTGATAGCTGTGTGTTCAGTGTCTGATATCTGTGTTTTCAGTGTCTGATCTCTCTATGTTCAGTGTCTGATATCTGTGTGTTCAGTGTCTGATAGCTGTGTGTTCAGTGTCTGATATCTGTGTTTTCAGTGTCTGATCTCTCTATGTTCAGTGTCTGATATCTGTGTGTTCAGTGTCTGATAGCTGTGTGTTCAGTGTCTGATATCTGTGTTTTCAGTGTCTGATCTCTCTATGTTCAGTGTCTGATCTCTCTGTTTTCAGTGTCTGATATCTGTGTGTTCAGTATCTGATCTCTCTGTGTTCAGTGTCTGATCCCTGTGTGTTCAGTGTCTAATCCCTGTGTTTTCAGTGTCTGATCCCTGTGTGTTCAGTGTCTGATTTCTCTGTGTTCAGTGTCTGATCCCTGTGTTTTCAGTGTCTGATCCCTGTGTGTTCAGTGTCTGATCTCTGTGTTCAGTGTCTGATCTATCTGTATTCAGTGTCTGATCCCTGTGTGTTCAGTGTCTGATCTATCTGTGTTCAGTGTCTGATCCATCTGTGTTCAGTGTCTGATCCCTGTGTTTTCGGTGTCTGATCTCTGTGTTCGATGCAGGGGGTGGAGACTGCGATCCTGGAGAATCCAACAAGAATAATGTGGTCCTGTTTGGTCATTCAGAGGGCAGGAAAGATCATGTGCTTCTGGACATACTTCCGTACTCAGCCTACAGGGTAGAAACCTAATACAGTCTATAGTCAGATTTAGGTTACATAATCATTTTCAACAGTTGACATGTTCTGTTCAGAATGTATCATTCAACTATTTCTCTTATTTCTTTTGTGATTTACTGTGTCATGTTCCCATCTGTATACACCTTGACATCTCTTGGCTTTCTCTTCCAGAATCCTTCAGTCGTCTCGGTTGGTTTGCCCACAGAACTTCAGACTCCAGCCACTCAGTTTTGTCTAGAGCAGAAGTTTCATGGTGGAGCGAACCGTCACATTTGGGCTGTGGACTTCCTGCAGCTGCTGCCGGTGCTGCCTGGAGCAAACACTCACCTGGTTCAGTTCTCAATCAACCTCGGGTGTGGAGCCTACCAGCCGGCCAACAGGTGATCAGATCAGAAAACAATGATAACCCAAAAATCATCACTTACTCACCCTCATGTCATTCAAACCTGCATGGCTTCTTTCTTCTGCTGCTCATAAAATAAGACATTTTGAAGAACACTGGGGTCCAAACAACAGTGGACAAAACAACACTGAGCTATCTTTTAAAACATCATCTTTTGTGTTTGCAATTATATTTGGGAAAGTCAAATGATGTCAATAGAATAGAATAGAATAGACTTTCTATTGCCACAAGAACAGCAGGAATGGTGGAAATTGTAGTTTGTGTTTGTTTGCAGCGGTAATAGTAGACTGCTCAAAAAATGAAAGGAACACTTTGAAAACACATCAGATCTCAATGGGGAAAAATATCATGCTGGATCTATGCTAATATGGACTGGGTAATGTGTTAGGAATGAAAGGATGCCACATCATTTGATGGAAATGAAAATTATCAACTTACAGAGGGCTGAATTCAAAGACACCCCAAAAATCAAAGTGAAAAAATGATGCAGCAGGCTAGTCCATTTTGCTGAAATTTAATTGCAGCAACTCAAAATGGTACTCAGTAGTTTGTATGGCCCCCACGTGCTTGTATGCATGCCTGATAATGTCAGGACATGCTCCTAATGAGATGACGGATGGTGTCCTGGGGTATTTCCTCCCAGATCTGGACCAGGCATCACTGAGCTCCTGGACAGTCTGAGGTGCAACCTGGACCGAAACATAATGTCCCAGAGGTGTTCTATTGGATTTAGGTCAGGCGAGCATGTAGGGCCATTCAATGGTATCAATTCCTTCATCCTCCAGGAACTGCCTGCATACTCTCGCCACATGAGGCCGGGCATTGTCGTGCACCAGGAGGAACCCAGGACCCACTGCACCAGTGTAGGGTCTTCCTAATGGCAGTCAGGGTGCCATTGTCTAGCCTGCAGAGGTCTGTGCGTTCTTCCATGGATATGCCTCCCCAGACCATCACTGACCTACCACCAAACCGGTCATGTTGAACGATGTTACAGGCAGCATAACCTTCTCCACGGCTTCTCCAGACCCTTTCATGTCTGTCACATGTGCTCAGGATGAACCTGCTCTCTGTGAAAAGCACAGGGCGCCAGTGACGGACCTGCCAATTCTGGTGTTCAATGGCAAATGCCAGTCGAGCTCCACGGTGCCGGGCACAGGGCCCACTAGAGGACGTCGGGACCTCAGGCCACCCTCATTAAGTCTGTTTCTGATTGTTTGGTCAGAGGCATTCACACCAGTGGCCTGCTGGAGGTCATTTTGTAGGGCTCTGGCAGTGCTCATCCTGTTCCTCCTTGCACAAAGGAGCAGATACCGGTCCTGCTGATGGGTTAAGGGCCTTCTACGGCCCTGTCCAGTTCTCCTAGAGTAACTGCCTGCCTCCTGGAATCTCCTCCATGCTCTTGAGACTGTGCTGGGAGACACAGCAAACCTTCTGGCAATGGCACGTATTGATGTGCCATCCTGGAGGAGTTGGACTGCCTGTGCAACCTCTGTAGGGTCCAGGTATCACCTCATGCTAAAAGTAGTGACACTGACCCTAGCCAAATGCAAAACTAGTGGAAAAACAGTCAGAAAAGATGAATAGGGAAAAAAATGTCTCCACCTGTAAAACCATTCCTGTTTTGGGGGTCATCTCATTGTTGCCCATCTAGTGCACCTGTGGTTAATTTCATTAACACCAAAGCAGCTGAAAC